GTTGCACGCTAGCAATGCTCACATTACTCGTATCCAATTAATAATATATACCAACATAGTTTTTCTTCAACCGGTAGAAGTTTAACATAATAGCAGGGCTGATTGTCGTCTTGGCAACCGATCAATCACATGTTTTGGCTTGCTAAACATTGTAAGGATCCAGCATTCCGTAGTGACGAAGAGAATTGACGTCACACTTTGTCGCTCTTCTATTTTACATACTCTAATGACCTGTATTTGTTCTTCATATTCCGTTTCACTACCTCTCACACCATGACAAAGATCAAACTGGTTTCGCACTCACCCTAATCATCGCATACTAATTTAGACCATCATATTTCTTACCTCGAGTCGTTTTGAAAAGGTTATTCCTTTTATTAAACATCCAAAAAGTCTCCATCAATGGACTATCGCTGAAACCAGGTCAGTTCTTGTGATCGGTTGTCCTTCATTTTGCAATTACCACACTTAGTCTCGCATTAACTTTATACCCTTGATTATAAGGCTGATTCGTTTGATGTTGTTATACTAGTTCTATTTATTTTATAACATGGATTATTTGCAATTTGATATTGTATTACCTTGAGTAATATTCTGTCCTCCGTTTAAATTGAGATTTTGAGATTGAGATAATTTATTTCCCAATGGTGTTGTGGACTAGTGGATAAGTCACCCGACTGCAGATCACATGGTACGGGGTTCAAGTCCCGCCGCAGCACTAATGTCCTTTGGCAAGACGTTAATCTACATTTGCCACTCTCCACCCAGGTGTAAATGGGTACCTGATATGCTTGAGCGCTAGTTACTTTGGCAGCTCGTCTACGACCAGGGTAATAACCTGGCGGATACCGGCGCTATATAAATAACCATATTATTTATTATTATGGAACGATTACAAAAGTCTGTGTTCATTTGCTATCGCTTGCAATCGGTCGTTCTTCAATTTGAAATTATTAACTTATTTTAATTTTTGCTTTGATTTCATACCCTTTATTATACGACTTATTCATTTGATCTTACGTTACTAGTGTTTTTATTCATCTTACTATTATAATTATTTAAAACTTGATATTGTATTTTCTTGCGTAATATTCTATCTTCTAGCAGAGATTTTCCTTGAACAATAACTTGCTTTTCCAATGGGTGCCTTGATATTAGCATACCAAAGCGTCATTAATTTGTTTGTCATGCCAACAGTGTCTCAATATGTGTGCATGTCCTACCTACTACAAGCCCTGGGGGGTGTTTCATAAAGCTGTTCGTAAGTTACGCACGACTTTACGCACGACTGATGATAAGTTCTTGTGCTACATGTAAATGATTGAGAATCTGATTAGCACCCAAGAACATGTTCCAGTCGTGCGTAAAGTCGTGCGTAACTTACGAACATCTTTATGAAACACCCCCCAGGTGACTTTTTATTGTCCTTTCTGGAGCTCCCAGTGTCTGCACCGATTAGTCCTTTTTATGACGTTTTCCTACTTTTATAATTATGTTAGCGCCGCGAATCTTACATTAATGTTGATATGCTTTCGGGTTTTGGTTATTCAGATCAAAGAGTTTTACGATATGGAGTTATATCTAGCTCATTCTTCGAAGCCGCCAGGAGAAAATATGGCAGACATGTGCTTAACTGGATCTTGATGCAGATACGTAGACAAAAGATTCCTGCCTAGCTGCACACTAACGGGCCACTTTCAAAGGGAATTATGCTTTTGTAATGATAATTACTTTTTGGTACCCCCACTGATATTACGAGCACTGCACAGTGCTAAACCTTTACAGGAGGCAAGCGAAAGGAAATGGAGCAAAATTCCTGAATTATTAATCGAAATTACTTGACTGGGTATGTGTGGGCACTAATCTTACATATGACATCATAAAGAACTATACTTGAACAAATTCACTTTTTATTTTCGTGAGCCGGAAGTAATCGGAAGTGTCAAATTGTAGGTTTTAGGATCTGTGTAATGTTTTACTTTTTTCACAAATCAAAACTGCTATTATACACTCTAAGCAAATTTCTTGACATAATTAGGCTTTTTTAGTCATATTTCATCATCTGTTCGATTTTCCCCTGTAAGTTTAAATACAAATTGAAATATTAACGATATTTCTTTGTGAAGAAAATCACTACTCAAGCTTTCCAATGATGTTGGCGGCTTCGAACCTCGGACATCAAAGGTAACAGCACACCTGTAGATTTTATTGTGCAACCTTAGAAAACGGCAGCTGCTTGTACTAATTTGTTGCCAGTTGGCACTCCAGCTCTTAAAACTCGTTGCTGAGATTTTGTATTTGATTATTTATTATGGCTAATTTAGATCACCACTTACCTTTTGAGTCTGTGAGCGAAGATGACCTTTTTGATTTGTTAAGACCCATTCAAGCTAGTAATCAATTCTTTGTTAATTTCCCAGGAACATCTGATGAAATTGTTGTTGAAAATATAAATTCATTATCCATAGAGTTTAATTTGAATTTTGATCACGAGGATCCGGCATAACATTCTTTCAGAGAGTATAATGACAAATGCACAATTGTATAATATTATTAAGATATTAAAGGCATCATTTAACAATGTTAAATCTGAGATGCATGGCCCTATGTGTAATCAGTGTCTGTGATATGGTTTAATATTAAAGCCCTAAACAAAGATTGCGGTTCAAAATGATCATAAAGTGCCTCAATTTTTTTTTAGAAAATTAAGTGACCGGTTTTACCATACTCATTTCCCCCTAATAGACTGAAGTGTTATAAAATCCGTTAGGAAAACGATAAATGAATTTCGATTTCCAATCATACATATCTTGATAATGAGACATGCGATCGGCATGTAAAAGTCATGGGATTCCTGACTGACCTAAAGATTTATAATTTTCAGATTTTGAGGCAATGTAACCGAGTCATGTTAACAGTGATACATTCTCTTTTTTTGCACTTAATTGCAATCATTTTTAGATTTCAATAAATTTTTTTCCTTAATTGTACTAACAGAAACTTTTTCATCCCATGATTCTAATTTACCTTTTTTAATCGATAATCATGATAATCATCGATAATCATCTTTAAAAATAGGCAAGGAAAGTCGACGGTGGTGTTGCTTTATAATGCTTAAACGTTTATTAATGGGGGACCTTAGTATAAAGTTATTCAATCATGACCATGATAATGTGTCACAAGAGTGTCTTGAAACTCTCCTTTCTGCCTCTTTTTTAACCTCTTAATTCCAAGCCCACTCGCGTAACAAACTCCTCTGCCTCCTTAATAGATAATATTTTTTTCAAATGTAATTTACCACACTGACTCTTATATTGTTCTTTCAGGCTTAACTGACCATTATTCCATCGTAACACATGATACTCTATCTCAATCAATTAATACTTATGACCCACGTTTATTTATAAGTAAAGTCACTCTTAAAAAAATAGCTTCTAGTCTTGAACATGTAGACTAGTCTCCTGTTTATGGTGTAGATGAAGTGATTTTCTCTTACGACAATTTTTGAGATATTTTGAATAATCAATTAGATACTTGCATACCTAAACAAAGAGATAAAACTAATGATTAAAAAAAAACACAAAGGCTCCCTTGGATCACTAAATATATATTACGTTCGAAAAATAGGAAATATAACCTTTTTTTATAGATATGAATTCGAAGGCACAGAGCGATTGAAAATTTGATATACATCTTACAAGAATATTTTGACTAAGATTATTCGTTTGGAAAATATATTTGAAACTAATATTTTGAAAATATGTTGGTACAGGTATTATATAAACATGACATTAAATTTGTGGAAAATGTTTAAACAGGCAATGAATATTACTAATAATAAATCTGACAAAACAAAAATTAATTTTAATGATGAGATTGTTGAGGATCCTAGGGACATAATAAATAATTTGAGTTATTATTTTTCAAAATCTTGCTGCTAATACCCCCTCCCCCATCAAATAAGCGTTTTGATGACTCTCGGCCTCACATACTCCGTAAAGGTTAGAATGCTGCCTTTTTTAATATTGCAAGCCGTCAGTCTCATACGCTGTAGCTGGTAGCGTCTTATTCGCTCAGAATAGGGACTTTTAGATTCTGCACGACGAGAACGTGGACTGCCCTTTTAAGTCAATGTGACGTCCTTTTAAGGCACTGGCAGTGACGTCACATTGCCTTAAAAGGGCAGTCCACGTTCTCGTCGTGCAGAATCTAAAAGTCCCTACCAGTATGCTGCAGTGGAGGGTAAAGAGACCAAAATGAGAGGCCCCCGATGTACGGTAATGTGGCGAAACTATTCATTCCCACGTGATTACCTCTCTTCTATTCTCAAGTTTTTTACCGGTTCAATGAAAATAATCACAGTCACATGAATGTTCATTTACACGAACTGCCTACGGTTAATATCAAACGTGAATGTTGTACATGTGTGTTGAAGCGGCATGCCGAAGGGTTCGTTTTGCAAACGTTCAGGCGCTCGTCGAGATGAGGTAAGGTTTGCTTGAGGAATTAGTTTTATTTAGCCTTGTCCTCAGTTCGTAGTTAAAGGTATTACAAAGTTTTGGTATGGGGTCATGAATTCGGTTCAAATCAAAATATTGGAAGCATATGCGTTCCTACAATATTCATTGATCGTTGTCGCGGTTGAAATCGAGTCTGAAGTTATGAAATTATAAATAATAAACTCTTTATGTTGT